ACTCAATATGCGGGAGACTTAATACCTACTTAAACTACGGAAGAATGAATTGCTAACATGTTTGTTTTAAGTACGTTGATGAAAATGTGTTTTTATTGTTCTTAGTTTAAGAGTTGATAGGATTAGAATTTAGGAAGAAATTATAAAACGGAACATTCCATGTTAATTCAGTCCCTGGAACTGCAGAAGCCCATGGCATTAACCTTTGGGTTATTAATATGTTGATGGAGGGACGGATTAAGAAAAGGGCAGGTTGTAGGACACAAATGACACAAAGGCCAGAGGCAAATAATCTTGTATTGACTCAAGTTCTAAAAAATAGATTCAAGGTAGAAATTAGAACATTTCCAGAGGTGCTTCTGTGGTCAAATGAGGTCACTTTCCAACTGCGATTCTACCTCTGCTCTGGGAATGGAGATGCAGGTATTTGAACTGTTAACTATACTTAAGAGTCAAGTGAAATAAATGTAACTTCAACGCTAGTGCTTTACTGAGAAGGCAGTGATACGTGCTATCTCAGAGCACTTGGAGTGTGAAGGCAGATCAGTTTACTGAAATTTCTTTCCAAAAAGTCATGCATGTCCCCTCCAGTGACTTTGGTAAAATGTTTGACACCTACTCTCCCTTACCCTGCTTTAATTGTAATTACATTAGCTGTACTGCATGGACTTTACTTCTGAACAGCAGTCCTGTGTGTTCCACCCTGGGGGTTTGGGAAATGGTCTTCTCTATTCCATAGTCAATTTTCTTCTGGTTGTGGATGCCCCTGTGGGAATTGATGTGGCAGGTGGTGAAAGTTTAGATCAAATATAGATCATTATGTGGAAAAACTGAAGAGTAATCCTGTTCCTTCCTTCTGTGAAAAACATTGTAGCTGTGCTGAAAATGGGATTAAAATGGCTACAGATCAGCATGAGGGGTCAACTTGTATCTCATTAAAGTCCCACTTTGACTTTCCACTGGTGTCAGAAACAGGGAAGGGAGTATTCCCTGGCAGAAAGTGGTGCAAACAATAAAGCTGCACAGCAGGCTGCCAGCCAGGAGCTCCAGGGTCTTGATCCTTACTGATTTACTGTGACCTTGGGTGATACATTTCATTTCTCTCTGCTTCCTTGTCTTGTAACCTAGCGTTAACAGTTACGTGTTTCAGAGGATTTGGGTTAAATAGCTGTTAATTTTAAAGCACTTTGAAAATTATGAGCTCTATAGACATGTTAAGGTTTAATCCCTCGTACCTGAGTAGTATGGCTGATATTGAAAATGGAGTTTTTAGTGGATGCCAAGGTGATGAACATAATGATGAAGTGACCTCAATCTGAGCAAAACAGGTCTGCAGACAGTAACTCTCAGGGGAGTAATTCAGCAGTAATTCCCAGTTCCTCTGCAGTGGGGGAACATAAACTGGGCTCATTAGCAGAGTGGGTGTGGGACTGGGAAAATGGGAGGTTAGGTATGGTGCAAAGGGAATGAAAAATATACTGTTGGTCAGAGGTAGCCTGAGCTTGGGTATGTGGGACAGTGGGAGAGAGGTTGTGCTCAAACTTGGCAAGAGAATAGTTATGCTAACAGGTTGGGCAGCGTGGATGAACAGTGAAAACAGTAACCAGGTGCCTAGCACCATTTTGACCAAACAGAAAGTTATTTAATGGTTTGGATTTTTTCCCAAGTGTGTCTCCTTTGAGGTGTGGGGCTGATTGTTTTTCTCTTCTCTGCTTAAAACAAGCAGCACTTTTTAGGAAGTTAAGTTCTGCATGATTCCAACCACTTTAAGCAACAGCATAAATCAGCCCTAGATTCGGTTCTGCAGCTTGGCAGGCACATGTCTGGAGTCTCCCACAGACCATAACCAGTGTGGGGTGGCGAGCTAATCAGGTCACCAGTGTGAGTGGTGACCGTACAGCCTTAAATGCAGCTCCTGTAGAGTGGGTGCCTCGGGCTGTGGGGCTGGCAGTTCCATATATAACTGCTACACTGCTTGGTTTCAAGGTCATTCAGAGGGGCAGTTGCCCATAAAGTAGACTTTAAAGTAGTACTTATACTTGCTTTGGTGCTTTGTAGTCAACACACATATGCATTCTGAACTACTTTTCTGGGCTCTCCATGGCTTTTTAGTATTGTGTGGCACTGTTTTAGAAAGTGGAGAGAGGAAAATACAAAAATGCTTGTATGTCGTAAAAAAACAGGTCAGTTAATGGTTACTGATGGATAGAAAATGCTTTGTGATTTATGACAGAACAAGTCAGCAGAGCATGGAGTCTTAGAAAACACATGGGACAGGTTGAGTAAGCACAGAGCCTGCACTGGTTGGCAAACTGGTGAAGTACAGATAATCCCAGTTAAAGATCCTTAATTGTTATCCTTCTGTATACGTCTTCCATTGCTCAGAATCATGTTGCAGTTGTCATCTGGTGGTGATTAAAAGCACATTGACGTTGATACCAGAAGTGCTACATTTGTCTTACAAAAAGATGGTTTTCTCAGTGCCATGTAATACTGTGTAGGAGCATCATTATTTCTTGTAATGTATCTAATACCGCCCAGTCAGTAGTACCCACTACTTATATAACAGTACCCAGTCATGTGCTGACCAGATGACAGTCATGTCATTGCACTAGTTTGAGAATTGCAAAATAAAAAAAAAAAAAAACAAAAAACAAAAAAACAAAGAAAAACATTCAGGGCAGTTGCTTTGTCATAACATTTTATAACTGTAGAAAACCCATTCAGGTTGAATAAAAGGCCAGGACATAACAAGGCTTTAAATCTACCCTTTAAGCTCCATTGAAGAACATCTGTGGCCATTTGTAATGTGTATTTTACATCTTAAATTTGTAGTATGATTATAGCTTGTGTGGGTACTGCTTCTCGATTCTGGATACTTGTCCTGCTGTATGTTCAAGAGACGCATTCAAACAGGGCCTTGTGCTCTCTTGCCTGGACATCTGGGGTTTACCCCACAGGAACCTTTGCCTCAGAGCGAGGGGGAGCTGTGCTGACTGGTGTTTCTCTGCAGGAAGCGATGCATCGCATCACCGTCCATTCAGGGTCCCTCTTGTCCTTCATTTTATGGTGTTAGCTGCATCGACACTAAAAGCTTTGCTCATTTGCTGAGCCCAAGTGTGAATACCATTTACAGGTGCCAGATGTTGGCAGTTGGGAGCCCTTGGGTTTAACAAAGTGGATGAGCAGTGAGCCGGGGTCCTTCAGCTCTGACAAGTGAAATGAGTCCTCAGGTCTGGAGTTGCACCAGCAGCCATTTGAGTTGCAGTGGCAAAACTCCCATCTCTGCTTGCGTTGCACTTTTCACTGGGGAGCCTGGAGCTGCCTTAATATGTTGGTGCCTCCAGCTGTGGATGACTAAATGAAGCTGTGTGGGCTGCTGGCTGCTTGGCCAGACTGTCCCCGCTATCTCAGCCCATAAACACTGGAGTCTTTGTCTCTGGCCTTATCGTGCCCCTGTCATCACAGAGCCCTTTCTGTGCTCTCCTCCCAGCACAGCGCCTCTGTGTTCAGGGGTCTTTTCTTCAGCTGCTCTTTGTCTCTGGGTGTTTATTGTGCCTGCTGCAGAGTGTGTTTGTTTGGGAGAGAGGAGGAGGGGCTCCTGTTTGTGTGGGGTTTATAAACCTAGTGCATTCTTCAAAAGAGATGCTGAGCAAACTGGGTGGTGTTAATATTAACCCTTCACTGCCCGGCATTACTGACAGTGCATCACTGCACCGAGATTTCCTCAGTGTGAAAAATGCCGTGGGAGGGTTATGAAGCTGCTTACTGTGTAAGGCAGGGAGTCTGCTCCCCCTTTGGTCTTAACTGCCCTTTGATTTTTCTGTAAATGATGCACATATGTATCAGCAAAGAGAGCTTCCCAGACATGGGAAGATGTGATTGATTCTAGGATTTCCCCCCAGAGTGCTTCTGGAACTTGTTTTATTGCAAACACTAGCTCACTAGCCCCTTCTGTTTGCATAACTAGCCCTTGCATCCTGTTTATGGGGCTACATCAGACAATCTCTCTTCGTTGTACCATATCCCAAAACTTCATGGCTCTACTTTAGGGCTTTTCCTTTTGAGTAAGGTCCCAAAAAGAGGAATTTCTTAAATTCATAGTGTCCACTTGTAGTGGCACATAATACCTCCCCTTTGAACCATCTTCTTTTCTTTAACCAGCTTGTTAATACTTTCATGGTTGGGATGGCTCTTATTGTTTCTGAAGTACCCACTGTCCCGTATTCCAAGAGTGTGCTTTGGAAGATGAAGATCAGCAACTCAGGAACTTTATTTCCATTGTAATTACATAATGCTTTGCATTAAGTTGGTTGGGGAAAAAAGAACCACAACCAACAATGAAACAGAACGGCATCAACTTTCTAATCTCCTTTTGTTCTTCCTCCATGAGAGGATGGGAATTTATAACACGGAAAATTTCTCGTCCATCTCTGCAAGAAGCTGCAGCAACACAATTGTCTTAGTGTTAGAAGTGCTAGGAGAGTTTTGTATTTCACTGAATCTGCACTCAGCATAAATGTTTCAGACTTTTTTTTATGATGATCTGAATAGACTGAGCAGAATGCAAAGGCAGTAGTTTTATGTGTGTAAAATACTCATGTGTGATACTTTTTTTTTAAAGTTGTATCATTTCTTAAGTTACTGAACTTTTGCCCCAAAATTAATAGGTTTAAATTCAGCATTTCACATAGTAAAGAATTTTTATTTTCAAAGAATTAATATTCTGGTATTGGAGGTTGTAGTTCACGTATTGCAGCATCTACATGTTATATTATTACAGTGGGAGAAAGTTCAGCAGACTGTGTTCCTTTGCAGGGGGTGGGAGAGGAAGAAATGCAAAGTAATACAAGCCTTTGAAACATGAATCCACACACTCAGTCATGACTAAAGCTACTCACTCAGGTGTTTTTTCCAACACTGCTCTAGGCTCTAGTGTTGTTGTGTGACTAGTTTTCTTTATGAACAAACTCAATTTGCTTCATCTCTTTCTCTTCAAGGAACAGGTTCAGCTGCAAAGCGCACAGGGATTCCAGCACCCCGGGAAATATCATCATCTGTATCCAGAGAGAGAGCCGTATTGCGTGGTCAAGCCAATACTAGGAAAACACAACCCAGCCCCACCTCTTCTGGTACACCGACTCCTACCAAACACGTGCGCCCCACTAGCAAGTCCAAGCAAGAGAATGAAACTGGTGACAAGGCTGTTCTGGAATCTCAGGTTAAAGAACTTCTGGCAGAAGCAAAGACGAAAGATTCTGAAATTACCAAACTTCGTTGTGAATTGAAGAAATGCAAGGAGAAGGGGTCACTTAATGCTGAAGGAATGGGTGCTTCCAACCAAAATTTAGAAACAGTATCACCTCTTGATACAGATCCATTAATACGGACCCTTCAGGAAAAAAACAGGACTTTTCAAAAAGAGCTTGCTAGCCTGGGAGAAGAAAATCGTGTTTTGAAAGAGAAGTTGCTTTATCTAGAGAACTCTCCTCTCTCAGACACAACAACAAGCAGTGGAGGTGACAGCAGCCTCCCAACCCCAACTACCCAAGAATCCAGTTTTGGAAGCCCATCAAAAAATGTGTTGAGAGGTGAAATGAATGAGCACAGGCAGCATGTAAATGGGGGTGCACTGCGCAATTCAGGTTCTTCCAGCAGTGATGTAACTAAAGCTTCCCTGTCACCTGATGCATCTGATTTTGAACATATAGCAGATGTACCTTCCAGGCCAACATCCTCCAACAGCAACCACTTCAAAGGTTCCAAATGCTCTACTACAGGAAGTTCTCCAAACAATATTAGTGACCTTTCTGTTGCATCTCTTACAGAGAGGATACAAAAAATGGAGGAGAATCACCACAGCACAGCAGAGGAACTACAAGCCACTTTGCAGGAGCTGTCGGATCAACAGCAAATGGTGCAGGAGCTGACAACAGAAAATGAGAAGCTGGTGGAAGAGAAAGCTCTCCTGGAGACTTCCTTTCGTCAACACAGAGATAGAGCAGAACAGCTGAGCCAAGAAAATGAGAAGCTAATGACTCTCCTCCAAGAGCGATCCAAGAATGAAGAAAGCAGAGCTCAGGAGGGCAAAGTCCTTGAACTGGAACAGAAATGTGCAGAAGTTCTTGAAAAAGCACAATTTGAAAGAGAGAAGTTGCTCAACATTCAGCAACAGTTAACCAGCAGCCTACGAAGCTTAGAAAGGGAGCATCAAGATGCCCAGCAGGTGATTAAAAGCCTGAAAGAAGAAAATGAGAATCTGCTTAAACTTCTGGAAGTGGAGCAGCAGAGCAACGGCACAGTGACAAAAACTCTGGAGGACTGTAAAATTGCCTTAGAAGGTCTAAAAATTGAGAATAGTTCTCTCAAAACTCAGCTAGAGAGTGAAAAACAAAAGGCAGCAGAAATCAATGTGATGGGATGTACTACTGACAACTCTGAGGCACAAGAGATGCTGAAAGTAGCCCACGCAGAAAAGGATCAGTTAGAAGCATCTTGCACTGAGCTTAAACAGGAGCTACTGAAGGCAAACAGTGAACTAAAGCATGTTCAGGGTCTGCTATCTAAGGTAAAGCAATAACAGCTGTAAAATATAATGTTTTCTTATCTGTCCTTCCATAAATGGGTAATTGTTGGTCTTTAGATTGTTGCTGAGCCATTGATTATAAGTTTCCAGGAATTAAATTGCATGAATTAGTTTTGAATGGAAGTGGGTCATATGATGTTGTCTGTCGCTATACGCATATTTTGCCAGAAATAACTGTTAGCATAGCTGTGTTTATAAATTCAAAACTAATTTCCTTTAATAATTTCTGCAGAATTTACTATTTTAGTAAATAGTATTGTGTTTATCAAAATTGGAGCAAGGAACAAGTCAGTAAAAAATTACTTTGATATTATGCGAACAAGTATTAGTGAAAATCACTTGGTAGTCCAGATGGAGAGAAGAACGTGGGTAGATAGCAGCGAGTATTAAATTCTGAATGATTAATCATGATTAATTAATAGTGAACTATAGGTATCACAAGAACTGAGCTCATGCTCAAAGAAACTGATATTTACAGCAACATGAACTAAAAATGCATGGTCAAGCTTCAGACAAGATTATTTTCATAAAACTAAAATACTTTTGCAAAACTGAGAAGTATTCTATCTTGGGATAGGTAAAGTTATGGTAAAAAAAATATTTTAAAACAGCATTTTTCTGCTTCATTTGGTAGTTTGTAGCTTTGCTCTAAGCAAGCTTAAGTTAGTTACTGTTCCTATTTTCTGTGTGATCCCATATGTTCAGAAGAGAGTGGCAATATGAGGAGTCGCAGAACAAGTATTAATAAAGCACAAGCCAGTGGTTATATCCCACCACTGCAGAAAGAGTGATAGTCAGTGTGTGCAGCCTTTCCTGTGTGGGGAAGGGATCACAAAGAGCAGTAAAACTGGCTAGTTGCAGAGGAAGAGAGCATTGCCAAAAAGCACCTCCATGATTTGAGTGATTTAGAAAATCCAGATGTCCTTTCAGCTTAAATAGGTGACCACAGCAAATGGAGTGAGTAGAGGAAGCTCCCCAAGTGCTTACTGGAGCTACAGTTCATGAAGAATAAATGAAAAACTGCTGAGTGCTCAGACTCTGTACCAAACTTTTATTGCTTGGTTTGGAAACCACAGATTTCCTCCTTTTTACTCTTCCTTTCCCTTGAATTAAGCTGGTTTGAATCATTGGCTATTCGTGACACCCAAACAAGACCACAGGCTTCTGTAAGGCTGTCCTTCAGTCAGGCTGTGCCAGTGCTGCTCACTGAATTGGCAGCCTACACCTTGCTTTTCTGTAACTTGTTCATACTCGGAGATCTCCCCTTAAACCTGGAAGCATTGATCCGTGGGCCTGAGCCAACAAACTGAAGTGCAGCAGATTCCCCCTTCAGTAGTTCCAGATGTCCTATATCCAGAAATATACTTATCTGCAGTGGCTAGCTCTATTATGTGTGTTTTCACAATCCACTGAAAATGCACATTGTAAAAGCAGCAAAACTGTTAATGTGGATTAACTGATTGTTGTCTTGGCCCTGAGGCAGTGATAGCGCTCTCATAATGTGATACATAAATAGATATGGAGCTTTCCAGGAATAGAATTCCTCTCTGTTCATTACCTGCAGAGATTGGTTTGGAATTATGGTCACCATGTAGATAACTTAATATCCTTTATAGCATTTGTTTTATTATCTTTATTACCAAGAAAACTGACATTCATAGCTCATCTGCTTCATGAAACGCTCATTCACATTAAAGCTCTGTCTATACAATGCTTAGAGCATAATTTTTAAGTCCAAGAGATGCCCAGTAAAATCTCTGAGTGATATCTCTTTAGTAGTAAAGACAGACTTGCAGCTTTCTTTCCTCCCTTCCAGGCTGAGAATGAGTGTGGTCAGCTGAAGGAGGTGTGTGACCGGCAGGCTGAGCAACTGAGCAGAACCAGCCAGAAGCTGCAGGAAAAAACATCAGAGAATGAAGCAGATATCAAAAACCTGAAAGAGACCATTTTTGAGTTGGAGGACCAGGTGGAACAACATCGTGCTATAAAACTTCACAATAACCAGCTCATCAGTGACCTAGAAAGTAGGTGGACCTGAAAAAAAGGATTAAAGTGAACACATTGAGGGAGCTCAGTTATGACTGCAACAGGGAGGAGGAAGAGGCACGTCTTGATATGTGTTACAAGGGCCTCACTTCAGAAATATTCCTATTTTGTCCAGTCCTTTCTGTTCATGCACTGAAGTCACTAGTCTAACAGTTAGTGCTATAGAAACAATATTAGAGACGGTCTCCAAGCCTCATTCTTCAGCAAAGGATGTATTGCCCGTTAGAGAAACTGGAATTACTGGCCTTTTAAAGAGCTTTTAGGGAAGAGCTATGCTGTGGGGGTTGCTGCAGCTCTGTGGAAAGGCAGCTGCCACCTGGTGGAATGAGTGTGTGTTTCGGGGTGCTCCAGGGGCTGGTGTGCTGAACAAGTGATCCTGCATGTGTGAGAGTCTGGTTTAATGCCTCGAAAGAATTACCTATTTCAGAGATGTTTGAATAACAGTTCCACTGGTGATTCCATTACTGATCCATTGACAGCATATCTTCGTTTCAGTTTAAGTCCGTTTAGTGGCATGACCAGCAGCAAAACCAAATAGGCTGCTCTGCCCTCTCTTTTTCACTTTTCACCCTTGCCCTTAGGTGTTTAATAATCTTCTTCCTTTTTTACTGTTCCTAGGTAAAGCAATGAAACTGGAAGAACAAAAACAAGATACAGAGAGACAGCTGAAGGCTCTGACTAAGCAAATGAAGGTAAGGTTCAGACTCCATGAGAAAGCTAAACTGAGCTTTTATTGCAACACTGGATTTGAGAGAAGCATTGTATTTTTCAAGAACAGTTGTAGAAAGTTCTTTCTACAGCCTTTCATTCTCCATTCTCTTCACTCATTTCTAGCTGTGTCTTTGCTTGTGAAGGAAAAATATAATACATCCTTCGCAAGTTACTTTTGCTTTTTCTACCTGTGATCTTCTGCTACTTTGGAACAGCTGTTCCTGCTTCAGAAATCATCAGTAGCACAGTGCTTGTAGTAGTATCACAAGTCAGAATAATCAATAGCTGTAGGAAGAACTTTGATTGTACTTTTTGTATTGGAGTGGAGAGCTTAGCACCAGTTCCTTCTTTGGCAATCTCATTGGTACTGTGTAAAGAGGCAAGTATTTGGTTGGACTTCAGCGGCATCTTGAAATTGTGAAATCCTGGTTGTGTCTGATCACTGAAAGAGAGATCAATAACTAAGTTCACAGCTCAAGTAGGTGCATTTTTACAGCAAACAGTCTGGGGTTCTAATTGCTCTTTCTAGGAAGATACAGAAGAGTGGAGGCGTTTTCAAGCTGATCTGCAGACTGCAGTGGTTGTAGCCAATGATATTAAGTGTGAAGCCCAGCAGGAGCTTCGTATGGTAAAGAGGAAGCTTCAGGAGGAAGAGGAGAAGAGTGCCAGACTGCAGAAGGAGCTGGATGAAGTGAAGGGCAGCAACAGGTTGGTTACTTACAAAGGCCAAGATTTGATCCCTGTGACTGCTAACATGCATGCAAACAGTGCTTTGTCAATAACTATTCATTGGCTTGGATGTGCATGTTGTCTGTTTTTAACTCTCTTGACAGATTTTTGTTGTCTCTTACTCTAAGATGTTTCTGTTCTTTTTCTTTTTGGTGATCTAGTTCTGTCAAGTAGGCCATGAAGGTTTTAATCAGCAAATATTAAGTAGTAAAAACTGCCAATATCCTCTTACAGCTTTGTTCTCAGTACAGTATTCCACTGTGTTTTATTGCTTTCATAACTCTCTGTGCAGCTGTATTAAACCATCTGTGAAAAGATTGGTTGGCTACATATATTCAGTGGGACATCCAGAAGAGAGCTACTTAACCTGAGAGGAGTCGAGGACTGCATATGTTCAAATTAAAACGAGGACTAGCTGGACTTCTTTGTTTTGCGAGTCTGATGCATGTTGACCGAGTGACCAATGCAAGTACTAGGATTCCTCATCTTGCATCTCCTGTCCTTAATTTAAAACATATTTTGTGATTAGCTGTGTTAAAAGGTCTGGACTTTGGCCTGGGTTAGCATTTAACTCAGAAGTGACTTCGTCATGCAGTGGACCCACCTGTAAAACAATTGCTGTAGTCTCAGTGGTTGGAGGGGAAACAGTAATTGTGAACCATTCAGAAATATAGCCCAGCATGGTAAGCTGTATATGTGGGGCTTCCCTCTGTGGGAGCATGGTAAGAACAAAAGTGACTTTTACAATTGAATGTGGAACCAGTACAGACGCCTTAAAATGTAGCTTTTATGCAGTGGATGACCTTCTATGTGCCACCTTTCATTACAAAAATCATACTACAGTTGAAGTACTAAAAAAGAAGAGATGGGAAAACAAAAGATATATTAGAAGGAAGAACCAACATTTCCGAAGACAGCAGTGCTCTGCTCTTTTTTTTTTTTTTTTACATTGACACAAGCAGAGACAGCAGAGCTGCAGTGATGAAAATTTGTACAGGGGAATGAAGAAAGACTAAACACGAACAGTGGTACAGTTTGTTAAAAATGTGTGCCAAATTATTTTTGCAGTTCTAGATTTTTCCATTAAATTTGTCTCCTAATAGATTTGTGGCCACTGGTAAATAGCCACAGGAACATGGTGAATCCTGTCACTTCTTTCAGGTGGAATAACAGTCCAGCTTTGCATTGAACATATTTGCTCACTGTTTTCCATTCAGCAGTTTCCACAGCATCTGTACAGTAGATGGGAGTAAAAAGATGGGGAGGCTTTTTGTGTGGAGGTGTATGGATCAGAATTCCTGGGTTGAAGAAGCAGAAATACTTCCTTTCAGAAAAATAATGTGTTTAAGCTCTAGTTTCATTGTCAGAGTCCCCAGTGGATGCAAAGAAAAGCTATTACAGACTGTACATTCAGGCAAAATGGTTACCAGACAGTACTTAAGTTCTGGGCTCTGTTTCCATTCCTAATTTGTTCTTAATGAAATTTCTTTTGTTTAGAGGGGATCCATATATAGAGCTGGAAATCATATACTTTCCCTCTTTATTATTTTGGGCTTTTTAATCTGAAGATTTATTTGATAATACTTAAATTGAATAGAAGATGACTTGCTAATTTGCAAACTGGGATATTTATCTTCTGTGTATAAGGAACATGGCTGCATTATCAGCTCTTTGGCATATGGAGCCTGAGTTGCAAATACTGCTTTTGAAATCAGATCCCCAGAATCCATACGTGCATGGTTCCCGAAGGAGGTATTCAGACACATTTTTAATTAAGACAGTTTTGGCATTTGTCTCTCCCTCTCTTTGACATACATATAGATAAATGTCTGTCTTTGCGCCATGCTGACTGTTCATGTAGCTTGCTTTGAGTATTACATTGGTCATGGAGCCAGATACACTGTCTGCAGTGGGCAATACTTATTATCTTTCAAAGATAGGTATTGAGACCAGATTTTACATCTGTCAATTTAAGTATAACTGAGCTGACACACAGTGTCCATGCAGCAAGTGTAAGTGTAAGCATGAGTAGTACACAGAAGTTAATGAAGTTATGTAAGTCACTGCCTAAACAAACAAAGCTCTGAAATTTTAAAACTGTACTGACCTATAAAACAAATCCTTAAAGTCACCAAAACTCCTGCTGAGAGCCAGTTCTACACTCCCAGTTATTTTTGCATTCCTGAGGTCATTGTCTTCCCCAGCACCTCAGCTTCTTTCACTTTGGAAAGTGGTGGGGATATCTTCCTTGTTGCTTTTAGACAGCTTTCACAAGTGCTGCTGCTCAGAATCAGCAGTAGATTCTGGTACCTGCAGTGACTTTTAATGCATGCTTAGCACTGGTGGAAACAGTTTGTAGCATGATACCTTAACAGGGTCTATAAAGTATTCCTCATATTTGCTAATGCTGAGCAGCTGTGCACTCAGCTGAATTTCTGTCAATCCCCAGTGAAAGTTTCTTGTCTGATTTTTTAAGCTCTGATTGGAAAATGTACCTTCCAAATAGTTTGCTACTCAAAGGCTTTTGGCAAAACTTCAGCCATCTCTTGAGGGTCATTAGACTCCACCTCATAAATTGATCTTGAAGCCAATTTATCTCCTACGACATCCTGCCATTTTAATGTTTGCCTGTGGCTGCCTGAGTTCCTGCCTCCAGGTTTGATTTCACCGTTACATTCTTCTAATCAGACAAAAAGTCATTTTTGGTTCAGGAACAGCCAAAGAACTTGCAGAAAAAATCCTGATGAGGTCATCAGAGTTCATCTGAATGAAGGTAAGAGCCTCCCAAAGGCATCTTTAACACAGATTAAATGTCTTAATTCTATGACTAAGAATGTTGGGGGGAGGTTGGACCACCATCAAACAAGTGGAATAAGGAAGAGAGGAGTTAACTTGTCCCAAGTTAGTACTGATTGAAACCTACAAATTCATCAGCCCATGTTTCAAACAGTCTTCTATGATATTTTACTTCCTAATCAATGTTATTTCTCTGCAGTAAAATGCAAAAGCTTACAAATCACTGTTGTCTGTCTCCTCACAGGTGGTGGAAACTAAAATTATATAGTCTCCATCCCTGGAGGTTTTCAAGACCAGACAGGATAAGACCCTGAGTTAACCTGGTCTGACCTCATAGCTGACCCTGCTTTGAGCAGGAAGTTAGACCAGGTGACTTCCTGAGGTCTCTTCCAACCTGAATTATCCTATAATGCTGTAACAAGTTTTATTTTTTCATAACGCACACGTTGGAAATACATTCATTTTTGTAGCTGTTTTAGGATCATATATTTAAGTGGTGAAAAAGAAAATGCTATATGGAGTTTGTAACACAAAGGAAGAAAGCTATTGCTGAAAGTACCTGAATTATGGACAGTTCTTTTTGGCTTAATTACATACCCATTTCCAGGACTTTCTAGCAATACACTGTTTTGCAGCAGTGACAGCTTCAAGGTCTGTCTTTGACTCCTTCCCTTCAAGTTCTCAAAATGATTTTGGCACTATAATATTATGTGCCTTGAACCAAGAACATGGAGGTAAGACAGTTGGGCTAGGAGTAGTACTCAGAAAACAGAGAAAATATATTTCTAATTAAATGAGTGACGACTTAGAATAATAAAAAAAATTTAACCAATCTTCAAACAGAAACCTAAAGTGAAGATTGTGATGTATCCCACTAATTTGCTTCTGTTCTTCCTCCTAAAGTCTCAAATGCCACAGCATGGCAGTGTTACATGCTTTTTCTCCTGGAAATAAGCTTATACTCTATGTGTATTAAACCCTGCTGTCAGTCTGTATGTGCTGATGTGCTGCTCATTTGTGCCTGTGTTTTGCAGCTGTTCTGTCTCACAGAAGTTTGATAGTTCATTCTGCTCTTGCTGAAAGTAAGCAAACTGGAATGTCAAAGCAGAGTTCTTGAAGTATTGCTCATTTGCTCTAGATAGTTATCCCTCAGAGTTGTCTTTTTGTTTGTTTGTTTTTTGTTTTTGTTTTTTAACACTGGATGGAGATTATTCCATCCCCTTTGGTATAAGGACCCTGAAACAGAAACTCTGAGGTAGAGCAAATCTAGTTGCCTGAACAAGTTCATGTACCCATTTTGAATGAATACTCCTAAATGATTTGAGGAGAGCAAAGCCAGGAATGTGACAATCCCTGTCCTTTGAAATTGGTTCCGTGGCTTTAAATACTTAATTTCTTACTATCTGAGCAACATAGATTTTATTTCCTTTATTTTGTATTTTGTATTGCTGTTTGCTCATCATGTACCAAAGCTGAGTTAGTGGAGTGTTAAAGCACTCCTTCAACTGTCCTAGCAACACCATCAGCATTTTCCCCTTTCCCCTTTATTTAGTGATGATAGGATGATGAACTGTAAAATAGAGCACTGTACTTCAGGATGGGCATTGTATTGCTTCTTATAACTTCCCCGATTGTTGTCTGTATCTCCATAGGTGCCTGATCTCTACCAGCTAACACAGCCCTGAGTGGATGCATAGCCAGGCCTGTCAGACACTTCAGGACATACCTTCAACTTGCAGCTGAAAAAGGGAAGTTTCAATTCAAGAAAGCACCTCCAGTTTTTTTATTGCTCTGCAAAAGTCAAGTGTATCACAGTGTGAATGCTGCTCAGGTCTACCTCCTCCCCATGGTCAAGAGCCTATTTCTTTGTTTCAGAAGGCTTCTCTCTTCAGAAGACTCTGAGGTGGAAAAAGATCTGAATTAGTCTAAAGCCAACTAGGCCATAAGAAGTAATCACAGAGATTTGGGGAACTGAAATAACTGAGGGCTTTTTTTGAGGGATGGGGGTATTTGCCCCGAAACAGAAATTCAAACATGCTTTTTTAAGCTTAAGCAAAAAATAAAACTGAGTGTGTATGTCTACTTTGTAAAATGTAATGCGCATACACATTATGAGTTCTCTATATAGTACTATATTATTAGATCTGTCTCTGTATCTAAATACATGTATGCATACAGATCAGTATGTATACATACACACACAAACGCTAGCGATAGGTCACTGAAATCCAGCAGGAAAACTGAATAGAAAAATGAAGTTATTTATTCAGTATCAGCTGCTTTGATGGTTTCAGATTTTTAATGCTGTGTTGGCAAGGCACTCACCACTGGGTGGCATGTCTGACTCAGTGTGTGTTAGGAAGCGGGGTGGTGCCCAAGGAGCGTGTCCTGCCATGACTTGCACAGAGAATGTCCCACGTGAGGTTTCTCCTGGCTGTGAGAATTGCAGATGGAGAGATCACAAGGAAAATAAATTAATATATCAAGCCCCTAGTAAATATCCTCTCAGAAAGGAGTCTTTCTCATGCACTTAACTCAGGTGAAGTATATGATGATCAGGGAGAACTTGCTGACGTTCAGCTTTGCAACTGGAGACACCTGGAGAGAGCTTTACTTGGATGCTAAGGAGAAACCCAGAAGTCACCATCTCTACCAGGAAATCATCAGGATTCATACCAGGACTGGAATTTCATGTTTTGGCTGTGGGATTCCTGTCCTTTCCTTCTGGATGTAGAAGACCTAGCAAGGGCCTGGTCTCGGAGCAGGCTGAGCTAGTAGAGAATTCTGCGGGATATCCTGGCTTTGGCATGGCCTTCGCCTTTGTGCCGTGCTACTGGAGTGTATGCATATATGCACACTCATGTTGCCTTTCTTTTCTGTGCTGGCAGCTGTTGAATGTTGGTTTTTATGTTTAAGAAATATATATTGAAGTGCCAAATAAATGTTTAAGTGTCTGGAATTGTCTGCTGCCTGCCCTTGGCCTCTCTTCTGTTCTGTGCATCAGTAGCTGTGTGTTTCTTTGTGTCCCCTGGAGTTCAGGAGGATCCACAACCATGACAGGAGCTGTGTCAAAGACTAGATTGCAGAGTAATTATATCTGAAAATATGGTTCTGTGGTCCTAGGCCACCTGTAACGAAGAGGTCATTGGAGCAGATTAGAAATTTCACAGACACATAAAGGCTGCTGTAGCCAAAATCTATTCATTAAGCACTGAAACACTTGCAGCTTGTTGGTGGTCTGTTGTCCACCTATTCCAAACCTAGAAAACAAGGAGGCTAACTCCTGCTGTTAGAGAAAAGCTCACTGCATCTACTTCTCTCACCCATGAATGAATGACACTAGGCAGTGGTTTTGTGAGAAGGAATACACCTTTTAATTCCTTTGCGGCTGAAGTGCTCTGCTTCTTCCTGGAGCTGCTCCACTTAAGCCAGCTGCACTTGCATCATTTATCTATGTAAACCATTCATTCTTGTTTGAAGGAACACATACAGCAGTAGATGACATTTTGTTCAAATCCATCCTTTATGTAGCAGAGCTTGCTTAGTCTTCTTGGATGGCCTCAGCTATACTAAACTGAATACGTTCTGTGCACAAAGAGTCATTTTTGCTTTGAAATTATGGCTTGTCATTAAGTCATATTCTCCTATACTGTCCTCCTGAATTAGCTTGCTACTGCAAGTTAAGCTCTTACTCTTCTTGCTTCTCTATTAAGAAACCCATATATGTATACATACATGCATCCCCTTATCATACAGCTTCTTCTCTTTAAAAATGGCAGGTATTCACCAAGTTTCATAAGTCTCCATTGCTTGTTGGTTGGCATGTGTGGTTTTAGTTGAAGCAAATAGGTCTCTGCACTATTCTTCCTACCTTTCGTGCCAAAGTCTGTTGCGTGAGAGGCCTCCCTTTCCTGATGTGATTGTGTTTAATCTAAGAGGTTGTTTCAGGGTGCATTAGAAGCCTATTACTAATATACAGATTTAAGATTACAGGAAGCATCCTAACAAAATTGGTGCCGGTAGTAGCTCCAGCACTTGAATCTTCATAATTACTCTGTACAATGACAGTATAATGGCATGTGGTTTTTCAGTGGACTTTTCTGTGGCACAGCATAGGGGCTGGTATAGTTACTCTAACATGTTTGCATCCTTTTGCGGTCAAAGGCTGGATTGAGGAGACTAGTATGTGAGGTTTGAGCTGTTCTCAGAGTTAAATCCAAACCAATGAAGTGATGGCTGTTTACAGCATACCTCTGGCTTGCTTTATTCTCAAGATTTGCCAGTTGGCCTACAGGCATTTACTATTCCTTTCTTACTCTGATAATACTTCACAAACCTGGGAGCCTGATGTAATGCATTGGGTGGCTTGGTATCTTGAGGCAGAAATCTATCTTTCCTCCCTACTTTACTAAAAGCAGGACTTATTTAGCTTTTATGTAACTGAATTACAGATGCTATCACCTGTTGATTTGTTGTTTATGCTTTATGAAGCCACAGAAGAAAAAGTGAAGGGTATAACTTAGTCAACAAAACACTGGCTCCCTCAGAGCTCAGTGAATTTTATCCAATCTGCCTTTCCTCCTTATTGGATTAAATGGAGAATGGAACTGAAATGGCTTTTTCTCTAGCCATCTGCCTCTGCAGTCTCCCCTGGCATACAAGAAGCTTGAATGAATTAGCAAAGAAGTAGCCAATGTCTGCTTAAAGACAGCACCTCCTTAAGCTCTGCCAAAAATAGAAACATGAGTCACTCTTATTCTCTTATCCATTGACACCCTTTAGCCCCTTGCATTTTGTGGACTGTGATGCCAAAAGGGAAAGAAAAAGACTTTGATTTCTATTTTTAGCTCAACAGAAGTTGTTCAACCCCATAGGCACTTTCTGGATGGAGTCCTCCAGCCTTCTTAAGAAATAATTTCTGGCTTTGTGTTCACGAAGCTCTTGGTGCCAACCATACTTAAAAGTAGGGAAAAGTGGTGATACCTCAGAACCTGTGGATCAGCCTGCATTTCATAAGCAGCTAGGGGATCAGGAAAGTAATGTATAAATACTCTCTTTTTACGTGACTAGACTTTGTTATCTAATTGCAGCTTTCCTAAACTAAAGCTAGGTAATTACACTCGAAGTCTACCTGAGAGCTACTGGGTAAGTACAGTGTCAGTGCTAAGCAGTGTCAGCCAGATCCGTAAAATGCATAACTAGAAGCAACAGTTACACTGTGTGATTACATTTGCTGTTTAACACAGCTGTGGACTTGCCTGTACTAACTGCTGTTAAGTCCAGCACCTAACCTTGGCTTCAGAAATTCTGTTCAGTGGAGTAACTTCATGATCCTTCCTGTTAAAATATGAGCTTTATTTCTATTTTGAGTTTGTCTCTTCATTCCAGCCATTGTATTTTGGTATTCTTGTGTATGCTAGGATGAAGCACCTAACAGTTTTATTCCCCATATAACCGCTTATGGACTGTGATTGAGGGTTTACTTGTTCAGCAGGTGTCCTTATTGATGAGCTGTAAGAGTTAAGTTTCTGAAGTTTTTCATTATGAAGTATATTTTCTGGTTTAATTTTTTATGGCTCTTACCTGAACCCAGTCCAGTTACTTATTTTCAATTATGGCATTTTAACTGGTAACAATTATTTCAGAAGCGATCACACCAATTAAAACCACAAAGTATAAAATAACATCTTTCTCTTTGGTTACTTTCCTCATTATACACTGAGGACCACAGTAGCCCCTTGGCCCCTGTGCTGTATTGAAAGCCCATCTTCAGGTAATTATCGATGATTATTCACAAGTCTCATCAAACTGCTTTTTTCTATGATAATCCTCCATCCCATGTGAGGATGGGAAATGAAGATGATGAAAGTTTGTTAGAGTCAATGGAGAAAAGTTTGTTAGACTCAGTGTCTATGTTTGCCAGGCACTCCGAGAAAAGGACATGAACATCTTAATGAGTGTTCCATGTTCCGGCCATTACAATAAAAGATGTAAAGATGTGCATCGTTGGATTTGCCTTACTACATCTAAAGACCTTTACTCTCTGCTTGCGTTTCCTGTTGCCCCTGACTTTGATCTGGTTTCTGCTTTGCAGGCTGACAGCTGAAGAGGTAGAATCTCTAGAGTCAGATACAACCAACCGCTGGCAAGGAGTCTGCATTAGCAGAGCATCTCCCACACCATCAGAATCTGCAGCCACTGTGAAGTCATTGATAAAATCATTTGACTTAGGATGCTCAGGTATTTGAACACTGTATATAGTAGTAAAAAAATTTTCTAGCACCGAGCAGGTAATTTTTGCCATTTTGTCCTGCTTCTTGCTTCTTAGTGGATATTTTCTGACAGTGCTTGGTACATATATACTATCTGTGGAATGTCACTATACCAGTGATTCAATATTCTGGCAAGAGGGAGATAGCTGGATTTGAAATGCAAATGATTCTACATTTTTTCCTTGCAGGTAGCACTGGACAAAATGTCACGGTTCACAAGGTCCCGAGGAGCCCTCTAAGTGGAATTCCAGTGAGGACAGCCCCAGCAGCTGCTGTTTCCCCCATGCAGGTAGAAGGAGCTCTTTCCATCCTTGTAGTTTTAAATTGTGTAGATGCAGTGTTTGCTACAGCATGATGTAGCTTCAGCATGCCGACATGCATATGTTGACAAGGGGAAGGGGAAACTCATCTGTTTATTTTCTGTGAAACATCAAATGCTGTAGTACTAACAAAAAGGATCAAAGTGAGTTTGTCTTTAGCTTAGAGGTCTCAGTGGACGGATGTGAACTTTTTGGAATACAATTCTGAACTTTAATCACTGTTGACTAGAAAATAGGTTTCAATTATTGGGAGTGAGTTACAAGAAACATCAAACTAAACTAGGTAGCTGTCATGTGAGTTGAGAGACATGGGATAATAAGTTTCTAAGATGTATGTTCCAGTCATCCAGTAAGTTCATACAGTGCTGAATGAAGAGCTCTTACGGTTTGGGCTTTTTCCTACTGAAGCATAACTACTTTGGAATGTAGTACTTCTTATGTCACTGCACCAGTTAACTTTGTTAGCCATTTTCAAATCTGTGGTACAATGTTATTGGAAATACTGCTTTTGAGAATGATGGAGGAGCAAATGCACTGTGCTTCCTGATTTCTGCATACACTGAAGGTGACATACCATCAAGACTGCTAACCTTTCTAGGCTAGAGAAGCCATTGTATGTTTTTTGACTGGGGCTGGGGCTACAGAGACAAGAATTCTTCTGACTTAGGATCTGGGGTGCTGGGGGACAGAGGCAAGGTTAGGAACAGGCATTCTTACTTTGGGTTTGTGACACTAGATTATGTTTGGCAAGAGAAAAGTCGCCCAAACAGAAATGTGAAATAGGTCAGGAACCAATATATTACTAGCTAAAAATATTGTCCCTTTGTTGTTTTATTTTTCACAACCGTTTATCCAGCTCTAAGTACAGCTGATATCTTGTTGAAAGGTTTCTGTATCCCTGCACTTGCTTTGTGATCTTGAGATAGCAGAAACATCTCTTCTTTCTACTTAGTAGCCATCATGCTTACGTAGGTATTTTTTTAATGATCTTTTGTACATTTGTTTGTCTCACAGAGACATTCAGTTTATAATAATGCCAAGCCAGCCAGCAAGGGTGTTGCCAGACACGCAGATCTTTCAGACCTTCCTCTTGCAGGTAGGTTGCAGTAAATGTACAAATGTTGCCTCTTTTTACTAGCAAAAGCTTGTCATTAACTGTTGGCTTCTGCCTCTGGGCCACTTCTCATCTTCTCATATGGTCAAAGGAAATATGAAAGTGTCCTCAGAGTCCTTGTTTTAGAAAGCTTATTAATTTTGTCATGTTTCCATTTCCATCTTCATTATAGCCTTACAAAACTAAAAAATAGCTGATTTATTATGGCTTGCCAACGGAAACTTGCCTTCTTTATTCCAAAGTATCCATGGCACCTCTCTAATCCATGATGTGGAACTGTAGAGGATTGGATTTTGTTCAACATGTATGTATCTGGACCAAGTCCAAAGTACTGTCTTTTGAGGGTTTATTTGTTTTTCAATTGAGCTTCATTTAAAATACATCAAACATTTCAGATACTGATGTGACTGTTTTAGGAGCAGTCATATTTGGGCTCAAAATAATTTGTTTTGAGAGTTCTGGAGAGATGCGTTTGTTTTTATTTCACACTTTGCTTTTGTTCTCTTGTCATTTAATATTCTTTTCTACCAGTGTTTGTTTCCCATTTTCTCTAGAGCCCTTTATTTTGATTAAATAGTCCTGAATTTAGTTGTTGCATTGGAATCAAAGCTAGTAGCAACATATTATTGAATTTTTAAGGACAGATGAAGTATTATATTCCTGAAGTGAAACCTCAGTGAAACTGCAGGGAGGGACAAAAAATAATCAGTCAACTTCTTCACTGGTATACTGGATTTTCTGCAACAGTTTGCTAGTACAGGAGAGAAATTAGAACCTGCCTTCATTTTCAGACTCTTCAGATAATCTGCTGAACTTCCCCTTCCGTCATTCAAAGCTAAAAAGATACTGAATCTGAACAGCAAAACATATGTTATAGGTTAGTTGGCAGCATAAGCAAGTAACATCTTGTCTATGCTGCCAGCTTCTCTTGCAGGAGTAAATGCTAAGCAAGCAGAAGTTATCAGTGGAACAGTTTACTTACTTGTATCAGTCAGTTTGCAGAAAATGTCTTGCATGAGAGTGTACATTGATCCTAAACAGAACATAAGACCTTTTTAATTTCTACCAGTTTACTGTAGAGTGAAGAAATCTGTCAAATGTGTAATATGATGCCAGTCCTTTATAATAAATATCCCACTTCAGGCCATGGGTAATTAGTGTTACTACCCATAGGCAATTGTTCTGTGAAAATCTGTTGAAATTAACAGATATTTTATTAGCCATTGTATGGTTAAAATTTATGGTTGCTTATCTAACAAGTTCCTGTATTTACAGCTTCTCTTTGTACCTGGATTTAATTTAGTTCCAATAATCCATAGCAAAGGCTTAGTCACTATGAAGTTGTAATAGTTCTGGTTCCAATCTAAATAATCCTAGAAGGCAGTTGATCCAAGCCCTGTTCAAACAACACTGAATTAAAAAATATCCCCAAGGAAATACAGAGTGAAGTAGTCTCCATAATAATAATCTTCTGGCTGATTCCATCTGAGCAGTATCACAGCAGGGTTCAGTGATGTCCTTAAAATGACCCAAATGTTACGTTGTTAGAAAGGAGAATGGATTACTTTGCAGACAGAATCAGAGGTTTACTGGTTCTGCCCTGGAGTTTCTAGCAGCCAGAAATAGTCAGAGGAAGTCTGTTACTCATGCAAGTGAGACTCAAAGTACAAAACTGGATACTGTTAACTTGTACCACTTCAGACACTAGTATATAATTCAAGCCAATAACCACAAAGTTTCTTGAAATAAGAGGGAATTTGCACCTCAAGGTGTTATGGCATTAGTTGATAATTAACATAGGGAGGTAACTGGAAAGGAGGAGAAAAAGTTGTGCTCCACATTCAGGTGACTTCTGATTACAGCTCATGTGTTGGCCATAGATCCTGGCTTGTTGACAGTTTGTCTACAGAACCGAAGCAACAAACTTCCCCTGTGTGATATATCACTATATCTCATGATTGATATACACAGGGAGATGATTTAATTTCTATGATCTCTCTGGCTTCTCTTCAAAAACCTATCAACAGTGGATTCTATGGCTACTAATTTTGTTGATTTTATTTCATATATATAAACACATACACATATATAAGTATATATAATAAAATATATAAAATAAGTAATATATGTAACAAAAATATAGATGCATATGCTACGAATATATTGAGACTTCCCAGAGTTTTGTCAGATAGGATGCCAAGCATCATGTGATAAGTGCCTTTTACTGCTGCCTTGAGCTGGGTTGTATTCAGGAGACAGGAGACTTTCTTGTTAAAAGTCTGCTAATGGCAGAAAATAAATTATTGTACTAGGGCTGGTCAGTCATCTGGTGAAGATATCTGGTGATCAGCTTTTGAACCTTTAAGACTGTAGATTTTGGTATTTCCCCTCATTCACCTGAGGCCCCTACCCCCCAGCAGGAGTATCAATCACAGGAAACCAGGCAGTCTGTACTGTTGAAATCATCAAAGCCATTCCTTGTTATGATCACCTCTAATCTGCTCAAGGTTTCCTAGCCCCATGTGTGTTTAATGAACAAATGAGTACATTTGTTTAGAATCAAAACAACAGACTACATATTGTGTGCTGGGTGGCAGGACAGTGATTAATCAAATTCCTCAGACTGCAAACTGACAGCTTTTTTTTTAATTTCCACAGACCTTCTGAAGGGGAGGAATGAAGAGCTGAAACCAGACCATTACCTCCGTAAAAGCCCCTCCCTGGAATCCCTGAGCAAACCGCCGATGGCCTTCAGCAGCAGAATGCTTAGCTCTACACCCAGCAGCTTGAAACCCCAAAGCAAACTCAGGTAGCAACTCTGTTTCTTGGGAAAAACAGCACACTGGAAAGATTGGCAGTATTACCTGGCACCAAGATGAATGTTTTAATCTGGTGGACCCCTGTCTCCAGTGGAAACTGCTGGCTACTCTGTCCAGTTCAGAATTACCAGGCTGTCAGATCTGGATATCAAAATTCAGGTTATGATTTACCACAGTTATCTGTAAGATGAGCAATCATGACAAAATGAGGATGGCAAGCTTTCAGGAGCCACCAAGTTGTATACAAGAATTCCATCATGTGTACAAGTGGTCAGCCTCAGTATCTTACCGTAGCTTTGCATGTTATGGTGAGTTAAAAACTAAAAGCTCTGAGGTCTAAGGGAAAGCTGGACAAGTAATTTTCTTCTGTCTTGAGAAAAAACATATATTTTCCCCTGATCTCCACCAGTAGAAGCTGTAGGGTGGAGACAATACGGGTGTTTTGATTGTTGGCCTTTAACTGTACTTGAGGCCTTGACTGCAATACAGCTTCCAGATTTTTCATTTTATTCAAGAACTCGTTCTGCAGCAGCTCAGTTGGATATGAATTTGCGTTACAGATTCTTTAGATAGCTTCTGTCCTACTTTTCAATATGTAAAGCAAAGAGGTTACTTGAAAATTTTATAAGTAAAGCTGATGAAGATAACAGCAGAAATCCTGGGTTAACACATGCTGTCAAATATCGATAGGCTGCTGGTTTTTAGCTCTTCATATTCAGTGATACCAACCAAATTTGTCTCGTCTAAAGGCAAATACAGAGTGCAGGCTCTGAAAGCTGTTATAGTTTGGTTTACATTTAGGTTCTGTGCAGCCATTCTGATTTGTCATACAGATATTATTTACACACTGTTAAAAAATAAGAGACATTAAGCATATTTGTCATCTCCGTTATGCTTCCCTGGCTTAGTGTGGAGAGAAAGGACCCACTGGCAGCCCTGGCCCGGGAGTATGGTGGTTCGAAGAGGAATGCTCTATTGAAATGGTGCCAAAAGAAGACTGAAGGTTACCAGGTAAGGGAATTAGCTACATTTTTACTTTTGTCTGGAGAATAATTAATCACTTTCCTATAGGTGTGCGATAATCAGTATCATTTCAAAGAAATACATGAATTTGAGTCTGCTGGTTTTTGCATGTTTACTTCCACTTGTTGTTTCTATGTTTTTCCTTCAGATTTCTCTAACACTACCGTCCTCAATATTACATTGTCATAAGTGGTATACAAAACCCCAAATTTTTACTACATTAACAGTTGCTGATGGTGAGAAACAGAGTGTATATGTGCAGCAGCCTCAATTTGGCATAAATTTTTGAAATTACATTCTAAAATTGTTTTTCTACAGGCATTCTGTGGGTGATATGCTGTTGTGAGAGGTTTTTATTATCGGTCATTTCTATAAAACCAAAGAAATATTTCATTGTGTGGCCTTGACCAAATGAAGTTTGCAGCTTGGTCCCCCATTCTCTCTAATCTGCTGCAGTTTAACAGGATTTTACAAAGCAAGTTTTGACTGCTTGAAAATGTCTCACTTCTTTGCGGAGTGATCTTCACTGTTAAACCAGCATAATGATTTGTCCAGTTCTTGTATGACCATTGCTGTGCTTGTCAAGCTCTGGCTAGTGCTTGTATGCTGTTGAATTAGGCCTTTGATTCTACTTGTAATTGAGCTGTAGAAGGCAATTATAGACAACAGTTCCTCTTGTGATATATACAGGGTGTGCAGGATAATCTTGATATAATGTTGCGATTTTTCTTAAGAATAATATTGTTTGTTACTTAGAGCAGAAGACAAAAGCACTTATCACCACATGATAAGCACCCTGGAGCAAGTCTTTAATAAAAGCAGAGTCCATCTTTTAAAGTAAATAATAAAATATTTTTTTTCTTCACAATCAGCTCTTTATGAAGCATTAGCTGCAGGGTATGGGAGTTTGGAAGAAAAGACAGTAGCTTTCCTTTGAAGTAAACTGATCTATAAAGTTTTGAGTCATTTCTTAGCACTGGTGTATTCATCTGTCTTGCACCAATTTCACAGAGGGTAAGGTATCAGAGAAAGCTCTTGACTTTAGACATGTCTTAGAATAAAGCCAGAGTTAGCATTTAGCTTCCAGTTCTGTGATACTGCCTAAAAGGCTACAGTGCTTTCCCCTGAAATTGTATGCTCTATGCTGGGTTGATTTATTTTATATCTCATCTACTAAAATTCTCCTGGTCTTGGATTTGAAGGTGTGGTGAAACATTCCCAACCAGTCCTCAGAAAATGATTCATGAAATACAACTTTTCCAAGTCTAACTTCTGTTAAGCCAGCAAACCCATCACTAGAGTAACACTTTCTCCCAACGGTGTTGCCCTTTTTTGTTTCAGATGACACATATGGTGAGCTTCCTCTACTTCTCTTAAAACAGTCTAACTGTGATGACTTCACTGTTAGAAGTGTTCTCTGAGAGTCAGCCTGTAGCTTTCTTTTTCTGATTACACTCAAATTGTACTAAATATATTACTTTTAGAAATTATTATGTGGCTTTGCAAATATAAAGAACTGTCATGGTTCTGTAGGTAGCAAACTGACACCAAGAGTGACAAGTGCTCCCTCTGTGATAGAATAGAAAAGAAGTTTTGTTTTTCTATGCTGAACTCAAGTAGTGGAGCTGTATATCAGATAACAGGCCACCCAGGAGGTATGCAAGGCAATCTGGGTCTATTTGTTTTTCCTTTTAGTATTAGTCTCTGGAGGAAAGTACATCCATGCTTCTGAGGACAGTGCAAGTCTTTGCTTTATATATGGCTGCTGGAGTGTTGTCGCTACGTGACTGTCCAGATGATGTTTCAGAAAAAACTCTTTCATTTTTGGTTCCTGCTCTGATGAGCTTTTTGTTCTGTTCATAGCTGTCCTCTGTCATTACTCTTTCTAAAGCAGCAGAATTAATTTTTTGCAGTTTTTGAGAACAAGCAGGTAAAGCACTGACAAACATTGCGTAATCCAGGAGAGTCTGAGAAGTTCAGAGTGTGATGTGGTAGCTGGCCTTCTTACCCAGTGTAAGGATTCAGAGCAGAAATTAGGCAGATGAACCAAAGAACAAACACAGTATTGATTTATGGGAAGAGTCTTGCCCTTCTGTCTTCACTACTTCATTTAGAGGCATTATCTCTTGGATGTTCTTCCTCAGATTCTCATTCCCATTGCGCTCTTTGTGGTGCATTCACTAACTCTTCTTGAACTTGCTTTTCCCAGACCCTTGCACTCTTATGGTAAGGCTGATATTATACTCCACAGGGAGTTTTTGTCATTCTTGAGTACAAAGAACTGGAGTGGAGTAACGAACGTCATTCTCCTTCCTGCCTTAGCCACTGCAATGGTGAGAATGAGGTAATGAACTCCACCAAGCAGAACCCTGATGAAGTGCATGACTTCTTTTCCATAGAAAATACCCCTGTCTATGAGGCATCATCTGTGCAAATCCCTGTATAATCTGTCATGTTCTTTTTGACAGAAGGCTCAGAACCACAGATAAATTTGGATGCAGTCTGTTTTCAGTTCCATGACACAGTGGAATGAGAGAGTAAAAGACTTGCTGCTTGGCTGCCTAACTTCTTTTTTCAGTGGTAAAATGTGCCACCTTTGAGGTCCAGTAACAGTTCTTGATCTGAGCTCGTGAGGAAGAGGGAGATTCCATTATGTTTAAATTATGAAGATACCAGATTTCTCTAAACAGTAAGAGCAAAATGGATTAGAATTAACTGATACTCTCAGTAGCAGCTACTACCCATGCCCCAGATTCACTGAGGAAAGCTGGATTAGTGACCTAGGAAGGGATCTGGGGCTAAGAACTAGGGACCAGCACACAAGGCTTCACATTTTAAATGCTTTAATCCATACAGTCCATAAATGCTGTAATTATGCTATAGATAGAAATTTGCATCCTGCTCCTGGCATATATCCTTGCGTTGACTGTGGTGGGAACATTCCCTGGCTTTGAACTTCAGCATGTTCCCCAGGAAGCAATCTCATAAAACAAGAGAGGGACACTGGAGGGAGTTGAGTGAAGTGCAACACAAATTGGTAGTGGCCTGGAGGGTTTTCCTTGTTTTTTAAAAAAAGAAATTGCATGAGTTTACAGTGACTGAGGGGAAGCATGAAGCCATCTGTGTTTCTCTAACATGCTACCTCATTTCTATGATCCCTATTTAAACAGTGATTTGATATCATAAAGATATGAATGCTAAGGGGAAAGAGTAATTATTTAGAATATGAAAACAGAATCACTACAATGAAAATAAAGTGGGAGTTCAGTATAATGACTAGGAGAAAAGAATATGAAAGCGGGATTGCAGAAACTGTGGTGTGATTGTTCATATGATTTCAGTTGTCATATTTTAATGCCTAGATGAATGTTACTGGCATTTTGGCCATCAATTTTGAATAACTATGCAGGGTAGGTGCTAAAAACATCTCATCAGTAAAATGAATTGTAGCGAAATAAAGCTTTGTGCTCAGTGGCTTTGTGCAAAACTTCCTTGAGGAAAATTTCCAACATAAAAAACCCCAACCTTAATCTGCTGTATAGTTCCCTATAAGAATTGTGTACTGGCACATGATCTCTTTTGCCAGATATACATAGACTGTTCCTTCTGCCTCTCTGAATTTGTTGACATCATAATATATAATGTAGGGGGATGAGATGACCAGACTTGAGAACTGCTTTTGTGGCTCTGGAACTCAATTAACACAAGTTCTTTAAACCACAAAGCCTGCTGAGAATAAGTTACTTATGTTAAAATAGCTTTTTCTCTGTTGTCCTGTGGTTGGGTTTTTAAAATCTATTTTAAAAGATTAGACATCATAGCAACAGTGTGAAGCAGAAATTGGGTGCTTCTTTTCTAATAGGCTCTGTTCCTATGAGTCCTAACTCCTGGAAGCTGCTGAGAGTCATTCTTGTTGCATTATCACCTTCCGTAATCATATCATTAGTGACTGTGGTGTTATTTAAGTGCCCTGGTTCTGTTTGCTCTCTGTGGAGACCATTTGTCAAGGGGCCAAACCTCTCTAGATTAAGTCTATTACTATTCACAGATGTATTGTGAAAACACGGGACATCAAGAGGCACTTAACCCATGATCGCTAGAATTGAGGATTATTGTTTCTGCCACATATACCCCTTCCAGAGAAGGGAGGGAATTGCTACCATGTTAATGAATATGGTTCACTTAGAAAAACTATTTTCATGTGTTTTCTAAACACTACACATCCATCCTATGGCACATAGGAAAAGAGAATCTGACACTGACTCTTTTCTCCAGTGCACAATTCAAGGTTATTCTTTTTATCAAAGTTATATTTGGTTTAACAAGACCTATTTGGGATTCACTTGTTGAAGAACCACCATCTCTTATAGTAAAGCTATCGGTGCAGTTGTCTTAAATAGAGGGGTGCTAAATAGGAGGAGATGAGGAATGTTCTAGACTGACAAAGGGAAATGGCAGCTATACCTCTGAGTATTTTTATATTTCATATATTCCTGACCTGTGCATTCAAGCCATTGCATTATATCATCTCCCTGACTATGACAGTGTTAGTACACTAGCTTAAGGATAAAGGCAGTGGGCATCTTCAGGAGAAGAGGCAGCGCTCCCTATTCATACTGGCATCAATACTAGATGGCTGATAAATTGGTATTGCGCTTATTGGTATTTATGGGAATAGCCTCAGATCCGATTTCATACCATCTGGAGGAATCTCAACAGCATGGAGAAACTTTACGTAGCTTTCATGTTGTACAAGTAGCTCCTGAAGAAAATCTTTTAATTATTCTGCATAAAATCCACTAGTGACTATGAAAAAAGCTAGAAGAAAATTATTTATTTGTTTCCATGCCTTATTTGGAGTTATTTCACTTTGCAGTAGGTCCCAGAAACACTGCAGTTTTAGAAAGTATGTTTAGCAGTATGTAGAAACTATTTTTAGGGTAATACTCTGACATTGTATTGTTTAGTCTAAATTAGCAAAATCCAAA